CCAGATATCCTTCAATCACACAAGCTGAAAATTGTTCCACTTTACTGCAGTTCTGTAACCATATGGGAATCAATCCTGTCTGTGTTCTGTGCACATCCAAAATTCCTGCTGAATGCCCGCCCTGGGAGCGAGTTACCAGTGACCCAGGGCTGGGGCGGCAGGAGGGTGCAGTTGGGGTGGGGGGGAAGCCCAGGGCTGGGGTTGGGGGCAGCCCAAAATTTTTTTGCTTGGGGCAGCAAAAAAACGAGTCGGCCCTGGCTGCAGGAGGGGGACCTGGGCTGTTTTCAGTCCCCCTGGGGCCCAGGAGTACCCCACACAGATCCCCACTGCCCAGCGCCATCCCCAGAGACCCCCTGCCCTGCCTGCCCCCCAGCCACACTCACCGGCCCACTGGGCAGGGGCTATTGGCCTTACCTGAGCTGAGCTAGCATCACAGCTGGGGCCGGTCGGGGGCCTGCCCAGGCCAGGCTCCCTCAAAAGCCCCTTGCCTGGGGCCCAGATGAGCCCCCCCCCCCAATGCTGGCCGAGAATGACCTGGCCCATGCACTGGTCACAGGTGGCTCAGCCCGGGAGGTGGCGGGCAGAGCAAGACCGCCCGGAGCTGGAGCCGCGCTGGGGAGCGGGGCAAGCAGACCCCTGTGTAGGCTGACCAGATAGCAAGTGTGAAAAATCGGGATGGGGGGAGGGTAATAGGAAGCTATATAAGCAAAAGCCCCAAATATCAGGACTGTCCCTATAAAATTGGGATATCTGGTCACCCTACCCCTGTGGGACGTCACCACCGAGAGCCCCCCCAGCCCAGCTGGCGGAGGAGCGAGTGGGCGGAGGGGATGGGATGTGACGGGGATACCTGGGCTGGCCAGATAGCCTAGAGGAGCACGGGGCAGGGGCTGGAGAGGAGAGGAGCCAGCCTGTGGTGGCCCCTCGGCTGGCAGTGCAAGTGAAGTGCAGTGCCCGGCTGGCTGATGGGCCCCTGTTAAGCATGGGCCTGGTGCCAGGGCGGCTCTGGTACCATTGTAAACCCAGTACTGCCTCTGATTTATTAGAGCAATGTCCTAGCCTCCGAGCTATAGAGCCAGGAGTTAATAGCCTGGATGTATTTTGGTTGCTATCCAGCATGAATTGTTTGTTCCTAGTTTTTTTTGTTTTTGGTCTGAGCTGACTCAGAAGCAGGAGGCAGTCTCTGAACAGCTAGAAACCTTTCCCCACGCTCCTACTTCCAGCCCCTTGTCTCATCTTTCAGTCACTCCCCATTTAGAGACCTCCTGTCCCTGACTGTCAAAGAGACTCCTCACCCCCAACTCCCAATAAAGGGAGGTCTTCCTTACCCCCGCGGCAGAAAAGTGCAGGAAGGATCATGCTGTGGAAACCAGTCAACCACATGCCTCATTTGGAACCGGATGTACGCAATCCGCAGCAGAGACAAAAACAAAACAAAACGCCAAAACCAAATACAGCACAGTGCTGTGTTAAACATAAACCACTAAAAAAATAAAGGGAAAACAGCATTTTTCTTCTGCATAGTCAAGGTTCAAAGCTGTATTAAATCAATGTTCAGTTGCAAACTTTTGAAAGAACAACCACAACGTTTTGTTCAGAGTTATGAACATTTCAGCGTAACAAACAACCTCCATTCTGAGATTGGCATAGAGTAATAGAGTTTAAGGGCAGAAAGGACCTTTAGATCGTCTAGTCTGATCTTGTCGGCCAGAGAATTTTAGTCTCTCTTTTAAAAAAGTTCCATGTAAGGACCAGAGAGAGCCCCACTCCCCCCGGCCCCTCCCAATTCTTTGACCGAATATATCCCCTCCCTGACCCTGTCACTGGAAGCTAGTCTAAAGGAAGATTTACAATGTGCAATGACTGCCATCTCCTGGAGATAGATGGTAGAAACATCAGTTCAGGTCATTTATTTCAAGCAGATTTTACAGCTTGTTCTTTGTTCTCCCAAGACAAATGACAACCTCCCAGCTGCCTTTTGGGAGGGGTGGGGAGCAGAAACTGAGGAGATTTTATATCAATATTCATTTTTTAGACAGGATGTAGGGGGATTTGAGATTGATTCTGAATAATTAGGAAAAAAGACAACTAGGGGAGTTTTATATAAATAAATATATGACAATTAGAGAGAAAAGGAGAAAAAAGAGGAGAAAAATGCAGGGAGAAAAGGAACAACGTTTAATGGGTTTTAATTACAATATTAAAGAATTAGAGGGGGTAGGAACCAAGTCTTACATAATTTTTATATCACTATCCAATTAGAGAGAAAACAAGGAAAATCTGAAGGAACTTTATACTAATATTCCAGGTTTTGCAAGAAACAGGACAATTACAGAGGAAAATGTATAACCGTGTTTGATAAGCAGAAAGGAATGGGGATAAATCCAAGGGGATTTAATATACCAACTTGATAATCATTGATATTTGTGTTTGTTTTGATAATCAGTGAGAAACCAAGGCAAAATATGAGTGGAATGAGAATTAGGGAAAAAATGGGGTGAAATTTGAGAGGATGTAACACCAATATTCAGTAATGATAGAGAAAATTTCCCCTTTGCCAGCCATTCACAAATGATTGGGAGGGGATGTTGGTACCAGACTGTGCCGGAAGGTTCCGTGACAGTTGGGCGAGGGTAGCAGGGGAGGAAGGGCAGTTGGTTGGCAGTTAGGAGATGGGGTTGGAGTGGGCAGCATTCACTGGGTATATCACCAGCTGGAGGGTGAATGCTGTTAGGCGTGTTGAATGTTAAATAGTGGGCAAGTGGCTTTAATCAGCAAACACATTGGTACATGAGGGCAAAATTGATCACAGGGGAATTTAAACCCTCTGCTCCTGCACCACCCTGTGAAATAATGACTCCGACGCATTGTTTTCCTCCAAAACTAAGTCAAGTGGCTTCAGGTTAAAATTAGAAGGGGAAAAATCCCCCAAATTTAGGGGATTTTATATTGCTATTCGACAGAGGAAAAAAAGGGACCAACTATAAGAGCATTTTATATAGCATTAAAGAATTAGTGAGAAAAGTGAATTTTAACAGGGTTTAATATCAAAATTCAAGGATTAGAGAGGAAAAGGATCAAATCTGAGGTGATTTTATGTTAATATTTAATTACTTGTGAGAAAAAGGGCAAAATCTGAGGGCGTTCTAGATGAGTTTTTGGAAATTAGATTGAAAAGAGGCCAAATGGAAAGGATTTCAGATCAGTAACTGAGAATTAGAGGAGAAGAAGGGGTTTAATCTGATGTGACAGTTGATCAAAGATACTTCAACTCATCATTTCCACATCCACTATGTGGGGAAATGCTTCAGGCCAGCTGTTTTCTGCCAAAAGCAGAAGTAGCCGGACTTAGTAATGGAAAAGGGGAAAAGCTCCCACGCTACCCATATTTTGAATTACAGAGAAATGGGGAAAAAGCTGAGTGGGTTTTAGGATCATAGTTAAAAATAGAAAAGTGTCAACATCTGAGGGAAATTTCGATCAATATTTTATAATTAGAGAGAGTGGGGAAAAATCTGAAAGACTTTAATGTTCAATGGTAAGAAGGAAAGGATCACATCTGAGATGATTTTATATCAATATTTGATAATGTGAAAGAAAATCCCCTCAGTTTAATGAAAAGGAAGAAATTTAATTTCTCATAATTTCCGTGACAGTTGGGATAAGGCAGCACAGCAGCTCTAAGATAGGGTTCAGGCAGGTGATTTAGCACATTGAGAATGAGAGAGAAAAAGGGTTTAGTCTGAGGAGAAAATGAACATGGGAGGGTTTAACCCCCACTAGTCCCCCCCCTCCACAATGTGAGGCAATGATTCATGACAGTAGTTTTCCTTGAAAAGCAAAAGTGGCTACATTTTCGTGTTGGAGGAGGGGAATTGCTTCAAAATAAAAGGGATTTTTATCTATATTTGAAAATTAGAACAGAGCAAAATGTGAGGGGATTTTATGCCAGTATTTAAAAATGTGGGGGAGGGGTGGAAGTCAACATCAGAAGGGATTTTAGATCAATATTCAATAATGCGAGTACGGGGCAAAATATGAGGAATTGTAAATCAGTGTTGAATAATTAAAAGGAAAGAAGCCAAATCTGAGGGATTTTAGGTTGCTATTAAGTCCCCTTCTCCAACCATTCATTCGCACAGGGAGCTGTGGGTGGTGCTGCTTGAACAGCAGAAGAGAAGGGAAGTTGGAACCAGACTGGGCTCTGGCAGGTGGGAGTGGGCAGCAGCTAACACAGATAGGTAGGGGGCAGCTTCCACACTCTATGTGGGATAATGATTCAGACCAACTGTTTCAAACTGTCTGTAATCAAAAATGAGGGGGGGGGAGAAAACCCCATAGTGGGGGGATTTTATGACAATATTCGTTAATTAGGGTTTGTCTACACAGAGACTGTCAGGAAAATTGATCCAAACAGTGTGAATTTAAAGTGGACTAGTTAAACCACTTTACACAGCCACCTGGATGCCCTTACACAGAATTAGAGTGCCTTTAGCTTAATTCACTTCCAAAGTTAAATAAACTGAATTACAATTATTTTAATTCTGAATAAGAGCTTCTACACGGGGGTTTAATAAGGTGTACTTAATCCACTGTGAAAGTTAATTCGGATTAACTTTCCTGAGTGTTTCTGTGTATACAAAATCTTATAGGAAAATAGAACAAGATTCAGGGTGGTTTTAGATCAATATTTGATAATTACAAAGAAAAAGAGGGGAAATTTAAGCAGATTTTATATCAGTAAGGTTATATCACTAAAATGTGACAATGAGAGAAACTGAGCAAAATCTGGGGATTTTAGATCAATATTTTTCAGTAAGTCTTGATCTTGAATCCATTTATGCAAATGAGTAACTTTACACACATGAGTAGTTCCATTGAGTGCAATGGGAATTTGGCCTAAATAAGGTTTAAATAAATACCAAACATGGACTTCAGAATTTGGCCTAATAGAAGAATTTCAGCAAAGTGTATTTAATTTCTCCATTTTTGATCTCTTTCAGGTATACACACTGGAACCTGTCCCCACTGCAGTTGCTGACATCCTGCTCTGATGTCACCAGGCGAGGGAGGTGAGTACAGCTCCTTACCAGCATCAAGAGGTGTTGGGTCTCTGAGAAGTAGATCTACACACTGCTGCACTCCTAGGGTATGTCTACACAGCAGCTGGGAGAGTGATTCGCAGTTTGACTAGACATACATGAGCTAGTTCTGCTTGAGCTAGTGCACTAAAAATAATAGCAGTGTAGCCAACATAGCTCAGGCTAGCCACCCACCTACATACACAGAGGGTTGGGCGGGATTGTACTCAGGTGGCTAGCCTAAGCCGCCGCCCATTCTGCCATAGCAACACTGCTATTATCAGTGTGCTACCTTGAGCAGAGCTAATGTATATACCTGTACCCAAGCTGGGAATCACCTCTCCAGCTGCTGTAGAGATGTATCCTCAGACCATCTGCTGCCTTTCCCCCACCCTCCATCAATCTCTTTTGGGGTATATCTACAATGCAAAAAAAAAAAAGCATTCCTAATTCAGATTAGCTAACCCGTGTTAGTTAATTTAGACTAAAATAACAGTGAAAACAGGGCAACTCATCTTTTAACTCATGTTATAAGCTCAAGTTCAACCATAGGCTCCCCTATAGGCTGTAACTCAAACTGCTAACTTCTCTCTCCCACACACACTCGCATACATACCTTTCACTGCTATGGACAGAGCACCAGCAGCGACCAGCTTTAAAATCAAGTCATCTCATCTTCCTTCAGAAAACCCTGGGTCGTGAAAGAATCACACCTCTTCTCCTCTCTGCTAGTTCCCTCCATTTTACTGTCTACCTCTCCCATTGCAATGTAATCAGGTACCTGCTAGTTAACTCTAAATACGTGTGTGACGTTGCACTCTATATGATTTTATGAAAATATGCTAATGAGTTTGAATATAAAGTAACTGAAATATACTTCATGCAAAAGGTCTCTTGTAAGGTATCATTACAAAGCTTATAATCTACAGAGTGTGGTCATCCTATTTGTATAAATGTATCACTCTTGTATCTGAAACTAGAAATATGAAATATAACTCTGAGGGCCTATTGTAATTATGCAAAGTGTGGGCCATTAATGGTGGTTTGGAATCTTGATGACTCCCATTAATCAGGACAATTGTCTGTAGATGGCTCTGTTTTACTGGTAAGTCTTCCTGTATACCTGTGCGCTGGCAAGTGGGTAATGAAGTCTTACAGTGACATGTGATCATGTCACCTGACCTGGAATCCATCTTTAAACTGGTGCTTTTCCATTGAGAAGGAGGGATGGGAACCCAGAGGGACAAAGGATTCCCAACTTATGCAAAAGATATATAAATGGGTGGAAGAGAACAAAGGAGGCAGCCATCATGAGAAATCCCCTAGCTACCACCTGAGCTGGAACAAGGGCTGTACCAGTGGGATCAGTCTGGGTTGACTCCAGACAAGAGTCCCACCTGCTCAAAACCCACCGATACCCAGACTAGTGCTCTTTATCCATTCAACATCCCAAGCCCTTAGAAGAAGCCAGTGTCCTGAGGGTTAGCAGGTTTTCCATTCACCCTTCAGCTGGGAGATTTCTGATAGTTTGCTAATATTAGTATGGACATATAGCGACCACTGATAGTAGAAGGTATTGTATCTTTTATTACCCTAAGTAAAACATTGGTTGATGCTGATGCTTTAGCATCAGTTGTGGAAAGACATTCTTGGCCAGTACATTTGAAATTGATCCAAAGAAACTCCCCTTCCACATACAGTAGCCTAAGTCATTGTTGCAGCAGGTTACTAATATTATTATTTAATATTCATATTAATATCGTGACCAGGTGTCTGACAAGATTGAACCCCATTATGGTAAACCTATATAAAGACATTCTCCCAGCCCTTAAGACCTTGTAGTCTAAGAAGACAAGTGACATAGGAAAAATGTAGGTGAGCATATGCAATCAAATATATACAATCATTATATACATAGATACATGTTAAGACAATTATCCTAAACAGATAAAGTGCCAGTTCACCCCACATGCCCATCAAATGATCTTTAATTAGTTGATTTCTTAAAGGCATGATAGAGATGGATTTTGAGGAGCTATCTATTTGTTCCACACATAAGGGAAAACAGGGAATGTCAAGATGCTTGCGTGAGAAGCTAATCATAGGTAGTTGTGAAGCATCAGCAATCGTGGTGTGTGCGTAATCCGTTATATAATCAATGACAGCTGTAGCTAGGCACAAGCCAGGATAATCAATTCCACCCCTTCAGGACATAAGGTGATTGTTGCAGACATGAAGAAAATGCTATTTTATGTTTCCAAGCAGGTTCTGCCAGGAGGGAAACTCTATCTAAAGGTGCTTGATGCTCTGATCAGGAACCATTCTTTGATGCATACTGGAATGAATCGCTGCTTGGCATATTTACAGACTGGTGGAGAGCAGAAGAATTATCAGATACATGTAGCCACCTAACATACAATGTTTGTTTGGACACTTCCCACTGATCTGTGTCAGGGCCTGTGCAAGAGATGGCACAGTGCCCCGATATTCACACTTCTCACCAGATTAATCAACATCATTCCCGTTTGGGGGAATTTTCTCCTCTTCTCTTAATTCCCCACCTCCCTTCACGGCCTTGCGGAGGGGTGAACCCTTCTAGCAGAAGAGAGCTGCAGTCAAAGGATGAGCAGCTTGGTAGTATCGCCCCCGGTCTCTGCAGTCCAGATGCTCTGAACCTGGACTTGAATTCAGATCTCTCCCATGGTAACATGAGCATGAGTCAAGCCATAATCTAAACAAAATAGAGATGCCAAACTCATCCAAAATAACTAGGTCTCTGATTCAATGGGGTCTATTAAACAATGTGCATACAGTTGCAATGGAGGGCAGTAATGGACCAGGGGTGCAGTGATGCTGAGAGGGCTTGGATATAGGTAGTGGGAGTAAGCAGTACTGGATAAATCCAGATTCCTTGCTTCAAAAATCCAGGGTCCTGATGCATAAAACTGATTTAATGTGCCTCCCAGGCAAGAGGTCTTGATTGCAATACACCTATGGCACCTGCAGACTTCATGTACTCTTTGGATCCCTTCTAATGTATCTCACTAAGGATTGGAAAACCAGAAACTACGACAGCAGCAACAGCAATCACTTACCTCTCTGACTAACCGCTCTAAAAGGCAGAAAGCCAGGAAAGCTACTCCTAGCTGGGTGGCACTGGACATCATGCAGTTTCCCTTTCCCTTTGCTCTTCCTCCAGATAAGTCTGGTGGTCCAACCACAAAAAAGAGAGAGAGAGAAGTTTCTTTGAGTCATTTCACCGTATCTTTAAATTACCCAGCTCTAGGTCCTTGCGTGTGTCTCACATTGAATCACAACTTAAAGAAAGGCGATGTAGGGAGAGAAAGAGGAAGTCACTGATTTATCTGCTGAGTGTAGGGTAGATAACTCCCAGTGTGTCCCTGGCTGTCATTGGGCACATTGAGTTGTCATTGCTATCATTATGCACCCCAGGAAATGCAAAGAACAACCCACAAACATTGACAATCAGAAGGGAAAGCAGGACTGGGAAAGAGGAGTGAGACTTAGAGTAGCATCTTTAATAATTCCGTAGATACCCCTCCCTTTTTTTATCTTAACCAAGTAAACTTGTGGATTTCTCTCAATATCCAATCTTCCTCCAAAAGTTTTCAGCCCAAGGCATCTTCCTTTCCTCCACACTGCCACCATGTCTCCTTTCTTACCTCAGACCCTACACTGGCTTCCCATCTTCCTTCCTGTGAAATTTACACTTCTCTATTAAATTTACACCTCCCGCTCCCTTTGAACCTCTATTTTTCCTACTCCTCTCCTCCCTTTCCCTCTTTCCATCCCTTCACTAGCTTCTTTCTCTCTATATCCTTTTCATTCTTTTCTTCCTTCCCTTCCCCTCTATTTTTCTACTTTCTCTTCCATTCACCCCCACCGCCCTCTGATACCATGTAAACTGTGTCAAGTCCCACCTCTCTCTCCTTCCCCTTCCAATCTAATTGTCCAACACTGCACGGCCCCCTTCTCCAATATTTACCTTCCACCACTGTCAGGTTCACTGTTGCATCTGCTGACACATCTAAGCCTCGCACTATTACCCGGTACATCCCAGCATCCTCAGGCTGCACACCCAGGAGCACCAGGGAAGCGTTGTGGAAGCAGAGAGTTGCCCGCTGCTGATAAAAATCTGCCAGTTCCATGCTGTGCTGGCAGGTGCGCTCCTGTGACTCAAGGGAGCTAGTGCAGCTGTCCACCATATAGACCAGGATGGGACGATTCCCTGTCATGAAATACCACTTGACATGGTAGAACTCCCACGCCGAGTTTGTGAATTGGAGGGAGATGGGCAGGACAGCAGCCTGGCCAGGGGAAACCCAGACTCCGTTCTGCAGTGTAAATACAGACAGCGCCGCTGTGGTGTCTGCATGGGAAAGAGAACAGGGAGGTTTAAAGGGAACATCAGCATCTTCTATAAGATGCCAGATTGATCTCCCCTAAAAACCAGGGCCAGCTGAAACAAACACAACCCCCCCTGCAAAGCCATCCAGTTGGCTTCATGCTCTGATGGCTCCAGCAGCCACACACTCTGAGTCTGTGTCAGACAGCTAGTCCTATGCACAGGCGCGGCTCTAGCCTTTGGCAGCATGCCTGCGGGAGGTCCCAGGTCCCGCGGATTCGGTGGCACGCCTGCAGGAGCTCTGCCGGTCCTGCAGCTTCAGGGTACCCGCCGCCGAATTGCTGCCGAATCCGCGGGACCGTCGGACCTCCCGCAGGCATGCCGCCGAAGGCTGCCTGACTGCCGCCCTCGCAGGGACCGGCAGGGCGCCCCCTGCGGCTTGCCGCCCCAGGCACGCGCTTGGAGCGCTGGTGCCTGGAGCAGGTGCTGCGTATGCATAGTGGCAGCTAATGAAATGTCATTGATAAAACCATAGCTTTTCTGACCCCAATTGCACTTTAATTCCCATTGCCAAAAAGACTCTGCTGTTGCTATTATTTGGCTGGAGACATGTCTTTGTGCAGTAGCATATATAATTTTAGACACTGAAAATGCTCAAACTGTGTATTATGATTAGGGCCCTTTGCATTTTTCAGGCACCTACTAGCTGGAGGCTGATATAAAAGATGAGCCTCTGATCTAGATCCAGGGACAGCTCCCTGGTAGACTTTCCCAAAAGCTGGGAGCAGGCTGGTTTGGGCTTCTTGCAGCAGCAGTATTGCTGTGATCAGTGAGTCTCCAGTCTTTGTCTTGGATATTTAATACTCTGGTTCCTAGATATCTAGTCAAATTTCCAACCCCTCCCTCTATGTGAATGAATGCGTGGATGGTGTGACAAAATGGCCAGTGTTGGTATGGTGGGTCCCACAGTTTTCTTGGCAGGGGCTAGGACATCACCCCTTGCCCCTGCTCTTGGGGCACCAAGGGCCCTGCTAAAGACCCAGGAAAGTGGTAGAGAAGGGAAACAGGGAAGGGGTCGGGGTTTGAGCCTGAGACCCTCTCAACCCCAGCAGGTTTCTTACCCTCTTCCCCCCTGGGTAGGGTTACCCTCAGTCCTTGATGCTGGGGACAGGGTCTCCCTTCCTCCAATTCTCTGGTCTCTCAAATCTCAGCAGCACACCTCCAAGCTCCAGTCCTCTCTCCTCCCTCACACCACACTATCTGTCTGATGAGGGTGTGTGTGTGTGTATTGGGTTCCCTGCAGGGCCTTAATTGTCTGTAGGTGCTTCAGTTGGCCTACAGGGAATCACATCTTAATTAGCCTGCTGTATCACATTAGGTTCCTGACAGGGCCTTAATTGGCTACAGGTGTTTCAATTATCCTGTAGTAGCCTTCCCTAGTCTACAGGGAACTACACCTTAATTAGCCAATGTACATTGGCCAAACCGGATAGTCTCTACACAAAAGAATAAATGGACACAAATCTGAAATCAGGAATTGTAACATTCAAAAACCAGTAGGAGAACACTTCAGTCTCCCTGGTCACTCAATAATAGACCTAAAAGTGGCAATTCTTCAACGAAAAACTTCAAAAACAGACTCCAACATGAAACTGCAGAACTGGAATTAATTTGCAAACTGGACACCATCAAATTAGGCCTGAATAAAGACTGGGAGTGGATGGGTCATTACAAAAACCAATTTCCCCCTAGTAATTTCCCCCTACTATTACTCACACCTTCTTGTCAACTGTTTGAAATGGGCCACCCTCATTACCACAACAAAAGTGATTTTTCCTCCCTTGGTATTCTATTGTTAATTGAATTGTCTCATTAGACTGACCCCCTACTTGGTAAGGCAACTCCTATCTTTTCATGTGCTGTGTATTTATACCTGTTACTGTATTTTCCACTCCATGCATCTGATGAAGTGGGTTCTAGCCCATGAAAGCGTATGCCCAAATAAATTTGCTAGTCTCTAAGGGCCACAAGGACTCCTCGTTGTTTTTTTTAATGTAGAGAAAGGGAAACCAGAGAGATAAAGGGTGCAGAAAGAGTGAAGGAAAAGGACACTAGACCATTCAAGAAATGATACGTAGTACTCTATTATAGGAAAGAAAAGAGAGAAAAAGAGGAATGAAGCCCAGTAGAAAAAATGGTTAAACAAAGGTGAGACAGTAAATTACACTTTACAAAATTTATTCAATAGAATGTTGAATAAAAATACGTTGCAGTTGAATACAGTGCACAACTTCAGTACCCCATTAAATTGCAGTGGGAGGGGTGGATCTAGTATTTCTCACTGTGGCTACTGGGCTTAGTCCTTGGGCAATTTTTTCAAGCCCCAGCAGTAAGGTGATCAGGGTGTTAACCAGTCACTGGCAGAAATCAGACAGGATCCCCCCATCCCTATATACAGCGTTGGTCAGATGCAAGAAGGGGGACTTCTTCAAACACTGGACACTACCAGACATAGGATATGGGATTAGATAGAGCAGGGCTAGGCAACCTATGGCCCGCGTGCCAAAGGTGACACACAAGCTGATTTTCAGTGGCACTCACACTGCCCGGGTCCTGGCCACCGGTCGGGGGGCTCTGCATTTTAATTTAATTTTAAATGAAGCTTCTTAAACATTTTAAAAACCTTATATACTTTACATACAACAATAGTTTAGTTATATATTATAGACTTATAGAAAAACGTTAAAATGCATTACTGGCACGCGAAACCTTAAATTAGAGTGAATAAATGAAGACTCGGCACACCACTTCTGAAAGGTTGCCGACCCCTGAGATAGAGTCTGATATGCCAGTTCCTACATAAATGGTGCAATAGAATTTAACTAATATTTATTTACATTAATAACAAATCCTTCCCCATTTTCACTGCTGCTGTGTAACCATACTCATCGGTGTCGCCACTTGTCCTCCTCCCACCCCTCCACTTGGCTTCACTCCAGGAGCATTGTAGCTTCCTACCAACATTACTCACCTATAAGGGCCCAGAGAAGTAAGATTCTAGTCATTGCAACAGGAGAGATCTTGGAATCGTGAATACAGCTATGAACTCTGCCGCCTGGCTTTCAAGGAGAAAGATTAATCTCTGTCCCCTCCCTTCCTTAATTCTGATCCTTTCAGCTTGGAAAATCTTTGAGGTATTTTAAAAGCCCTAAAAGCAGAAATAGCTGGTTGCTGACGTCAGTGTTCTTTATTTGCTGACTTGAAACAACAACAAAAAAATATCGGTAGTTTTTACTCATGTGTCTTCAGGGAACTTTATATGGTACTTTCCAATGTCTCATTAAGAGTGGAAGTTTGTGATTTGCCTTCATCATGCCTCACCCTGTCAGCAATATGAATTTCTCTCTTTTTCTTTAATCACTTTGCTCCCTTCTGTGCCTTTGAGAGTAAGAAATAATATCCCAGTGCCAGCTGAGAGTGCTGAAATGGTAATATATCTGGTGGAAGACAACAAAACTCACATGCACTAAGAAATAGCTACATAACCACTAGACAGTGGTCATTAGCCGTTTTGGGCTCAAGACCCATTTGTAAATGTTTATGGCCTGTCACAACCCAGTAAATAGCCTGGGGATGGAGCTGGAGGCCCTGGGGTGGTTTCTGTCAGATTTTCCCCCCCAGGGGAATTGGGTCCTATCCGGCGCTCACTCCACAGTGGCATCTCCTACAGCTCCTGTGCTGTGTGGCTAGCTGGTCTTGGCTCTCCGCTCTGGGTATCGCAACTTCCAGGGTTGCAGTGCCACTCATTTTTAGCCCCGCCCCCCTGACTGGACCAAATTTGTGTGAGTGGAGTTGTGATCTGGCTCATGGGCCTGCAGTGCCACTCACTTATATTTGGCCAACCCAGGCTCCCATCGTCATGACAGCTGGGTCTAACCTGAGTGGTGCGGGTACTCCAGAGAGCAGGGAGGCGAGCCCAGCCAACCCCGTGGGACAGGAGCTGCCACAGGACCCTTTGAAACATTCCAGGGTCCCAATCCACGGATTGAGAAACCCTGCACTAGAGGGCACTGCAACAATAGAGCACCCAAGAAGCTATTATGCAGATAATGTAACAAGGCAAACAGGACACTTGGGTGCCCACCTAACAGAGGAATACCAATCAACAAACCAGAGAAATGTCTTGAGCTCCACTCTCCAGGCCTCCTTTGGCCCAGGAGGCCTTGGTATCTTTAGTGTTTACCCTTTAGGACCATGTTCTCACAGTCAGCCTTTAGGTTTTTCCATCTGCAGGACAAGAACATACAGATCCACTGGACCTGTTGCTGGATGGAAACAAGGATGAGGGCTGACTAGCCAGGGTCTCCCATCACAGCTTACATTAGATATAAGAAAAGGGGCTTTACTCCAGCATCTCATTGTCCAATACATTTACCCTAATTCTGGCCATTGTGGCTATCTTCACAACTGTTTCCCTCCTGGGCTAGGAGATTGACTTGATTTGGCTCTCTGTTCCCATTCCATTCCCTTTCAGGAGAGACCCCTCAAATGACACTGCTGGTTCACTTCATTATAAAATGTGAAAGCTTGACCAGGGGATTAACAATTGCTGTGATTTTTTTAAAAGAAGTTTTCTTCCCCCTTCACCTGCTCAAATCTTTCCTGACTTGACCATGATGGGAAGGTTTTTTTTCAATTACAAGTAGAACACAGGAGAAGAGGAGATTATATTCATCCTAAAATTAAATGTAACAAGGTCAGGATATAACTCCCACACTTGTGGGCTGATCTGTGGAACTTGCTGCAGTAGGAGGTTAAAGAATCAAATACTGAGGGAAGGTTTTTTAAAGGGCTGTATAAAATGAGGGGAAATAACATTTCTATGCCAACCTCATTTCATGCTATATGGCTAACTCCAGCTTCAGGACTTTAAATGATAGATTGGCTGCAAGCAGGAAGTCAAGAAATAATCATACACAGTGAACTATGCATATTTTCTCCTTTCTCTGAAACATTTGGTGCTGGTCATTGTCCGTGGAAGGAGACCGGAGTAGATGGAACAATGATTATGTGTTATGCGGCCCCAACCAGGGGTGCACCTCCACCTGGCGTCTCGGGTGGACCCAGTGTCTCCTCACGCTGAGTGAAGTTGCTGCCTGATGCATGAATATACTGCAGAAGGGAAGAAATACCATCAGTTATGTGTGGCTACCAAACCTGCAGTCTATGTCCTTAAGCCGTTTCTGTTTAGGATGTCCCCCACTTCCATCTTTTTAATTTCTCAATCTCTCTATCTCCAGCCAAACAGCCCGATTCTTAGATTGGCTCCCATCACTACAGTGTCCCAGCACATCCCCTGTCCCTTTAACTCAGGAGGACTTGATGTGTCTCTTGCACACATGCCAACCCATCATAGTTCATGGTTAAGATAGAGTCCGAGTCACCAAGGGTTTGTCTTCTCTAGACAAATCACATCAAGTTCTAACACACACTGAAGGAATCGTATTAACGACTGCAATGTTGCGATCAAAATCTTGATAGTTCACATGACTTCTCAAGGTCGTGTTCTAACTTGATGTAAGCCTTAGGGGGCAGTGGTCTCACACACTCATTCATTACAACACCAGACTGGCTCCCCTCCGTCATATGTCTCCTCTGATCTCATCCAACATGTTTTCCTGGGGATGCAAAGATGGCAGCAGCAATCACTCACCTCTCCCACTACCAGTGCCAAAATGCAGAGAACCAGGCAGGCAAAGACCATACGGATAGTGTTAACGGTGCTGAGGCTTTTCCGGGCAAATTTTCCTGCAAGTAAGGAGAGGTGAGATAAACATAAAAAGACTGAGAAAGTAACGGGTGTAAATGAATCACTCATTAAACTATCCAGCTGAAGCTAAGAGTGTCACTTCAGCTCACGATGAATCAGGAATGGGTTGTGGGCGTATGAAGGGGAAAATCTCGCCGGATCCTCTGGGTTAATCTTTCTCCATAGTTGATCTATAGCTGTTAAAAGTGTAGTGTATAGGAACTGGGTAGTCATCTCACACTAATCACCGATTGTTGGGCCTTTTGCTTTTTACACAGCATAGATAATATGAAGGAACCACATGGGCATGATGAGGTCCAAATAATAACCATGTTTATTTAACATATATAACATGCAAGGCCTAGCTGCATATACACACTGCTGCTGTAGTAGGGTCCTGGTGGCTTCTGAAACAGAAGACAATGAGGGCCACTAGAGGGCTCACAAACTACTTTAAAAGAATACTACCCAATTTCTATAGACTTCAAGGTGCAGCAATGGGGACCTTTAGGGTATGTCTACACAGGAAGCAGAAATCCACGGTGGGAGTCTGAGTCCATGTCTACATACTCGAGCTTGCAGGGCTTGCACTACAGCATTAAAAATAGCTATGGAGAGGTTCAGGCTTGGGCTGGAGAAGGCTGTGAAGCCCCCCCCCCTTCTCTAAGCTTCAGCGCCCAAGCTCCAGGCTGAGCCCATATGGCTACACTGCTATTTTTAGTGCCATAGGGTGAACCCCGCAAGCCCAAGTCTATAGACCCGGGTTCTGAGACTCCCCGCTGCAGGTTTCTTCTTGCCATGTAGACATAGCCAAGAAGTGAGGATTTTCCAAATGCTCCCCTCCTCGTTCTTCTGTAACTATCTGCTCCCTTCTCTTTTTCCTCTTTCCCTCGTTCACCTCCATTTTCTCAGTCTCCCCCATTATCTTGTGGAATCCCAAGAAATTCAGTTCTGCTGCCTTCTATTACCTTCTCAGACTCCCTCATTTTTCTTTGCCTTTAATCTTTTCCACCCCTCTAACACTCATGATATTTTAACCATACATAATTTTTGACATTTTTTAACAGCTTCTTTGCGGCCATGCTTTCAGCCTGTCTCCACCAGCTTTGTGATTTCTTCTCAGTTTCCTTAAGCTCAGTGTCTCAAAGGCAGAAATGCTACTTTTGGTCACAAAAAGCATGTTAAAGAACAAAACCCTCGTCTCCCTCCTCATCTCAGATCCCACATGTGCCTCCGTTTTCTTGTAACATTTGTTAGTCTTCCTCAACTCGCATTAGCCCACCTCTCCTGTTGATTGTCTGTAAATGTGCTTCTCCTTGCCCCTGTACTGCACTGCCTCGCCTCAGCCTTGGGCAGGCCGAGCAATTTATCATGGTATCATTCCTTTTGTCTGAAGAGTCGAGCAGTGCTGTTGCCACCGTTTAACAGCTACAGTGAACAGGGCCGTAGCAACAAAGAACGTGGCCCCCTCCAAACATATGTCCGGGCGGGGCCCCTTACAATGCAGAAACTGGAATGCGGTATTTATTTTGCCACTTTTAGGGGCCCCCTTCCTTGCGGGGCCCCCTCCGGTTGGAGGGTACGGAGGGCGCTCGCTACACCTCTGACAGTGAAATATGAGTACACCACACCACCTCGGACTCCTCCACTTGCTCTCTCTCCCTTCTGCCCCATCAGCCTCCTTGTCTCCTCTGCCACCCCCAATCCCACTTTTTACTCATCTTCTCTATTCTACCTTCTCTTTTTCTCATTGCATTGCGTCCTTTCTCTCCACCGTTTTCTTCTCTTACCATCCACTTCTCCCCCCTTCCCTTCTCTCTTCATTTCCTCAGTTCCCCCATTTCCGACTTCAATCTCCTTACTACACAGATACTCTATCTCGCCCCTGATCCCTTGATACCTTCAGTCACCATCAGGTTCACTGTCGCATTGGCCCATACATCCAGGGTTCGTACTGTTACCAGGTACATCCCGGCATCCTCAGCCTGCACACCCCGTATCACCAACGTAGCATTCTGGCAGATGTCTGCCTGCTGCTGATATTCCTTTGCCACCTCCTTAGTCAGCTGGCAGGTTCTCTCCCACCAGTTGCGGGCGGTCCCAGTGCAGTTGTCCAACATGTACACCAAGATGGGGAGATTCCCAATGCCTGTGATGAGCTCCCACTTGATGTAAATGAATTCCCAGGCTGAGTTCAGGGATTGGAGGGAGAAGGACAGCAGAGCTGTCTGATTGGTGATGGCACGGACTGGGTTCTTGGGTGTGATTATAGAGAGTGCAGGCAAGGCACCTGAGTGTGAGAACAAGGGGGAAAATTCCATGGGGCTTTACCTGTCTGAGGGGTGAAAGCCTCCCTAGCTGATTCCCCAATCACCTGACTTCCTGAAGTGCAGCTGGAATGGAATCATTGCCCTCTACGTGAAAGTCTTTGTAGTCCATTCCCCACCCTTCTAAGCTATGCAGTGTCGTAATATTATAAAAGTTACCAAGGGCGTATACTAGTGAACACAAAGATGGTATTTTACTATAACTAAGGCTATGTTTTAGTCATGGGTATTTTTAATAAACGTCATGGACAGGTCACGGGCAATAAACAAAAATTCACGGCCCGTGACCTGTCCATAACTTGTACTATATACCCCTGACTAAATCTGGTGGGGGGGAGAAGAGGCCCAGGGGGCACTGTGGGTGCTGGGGGGCAGTCTGGGGGTGCTGAGGGTGCTTGGGGGGGCGGTCTGGGACCCCCGCTGGTTGGCTGGGCTGGCAGCCTCCCTACCCAGCTCCTCGCAGCTCCCCGGAAGCAGCGACATGTTCCTCCCTCAGCTCCTAGCTTTGCACGCTGCCCCGGCCCCAAGCGCCGGCTCTGCAGTTCCCACTGGGCAGGAACTGTGGCCAGTGGAAGCTGCGGGGGTGGTGCCTGCGGCGAAGGCAGCGGTGGAGCCATCTGGCCGTGCCTCCATCTAGGAGCTGAGGGAGGGACATGTTGCCACTTCCGGGGAGCCCCCCTGAGGTAAGCACTGCCCAGAACCCTCACCCCCTCCCACGCCCCAACCCCCAGTCCCCTCTCACACCCAAACTGCTGCTGCTGCTGGGAGGGGGTGGTGGCCCAAGACTTTCCCAGCAGCAGTTGGTGCGGTTGGCCTAGGGGCTGCCCAAGCTGCACAGATGGCCCTCAGGCCGCTGCAGAAGTCACGAAGGTCTCAGAAAGTCACGGAATCTGTGATTTCCGTGACAAACTCCCAGCCTTAACTATAACTCACGTTAACAACTCATTACTACATATAAGGTAGAAGAATAGTTGAGTTCACACCTTTGCTGCTACTGTGGTTTGCTGGAGACAGCTTTCTGCAAGGTTAGATTCAACCATTGCATTGGTTTTATAGATCTCATAGATTCTAGTTTGAAACTCAGAAAGGAATGAATTGCTGTTATTATATACAACACATTTCTGATTTTCACTCTGCCTTGATGGTGCATTCTGGGCATCTCGACACCGGAAAGATGGCAACCAATTGTGAGGGAGTGCAGAGCAGAGCAACAAAAAATGAGGAACGGTCTGGAGGGATCGACTTGTGGGGAAGAGATTAAAAGAGCTAAGCAGACCAGAGCCTTGGCTGCAACCAAACTTCACAGAGCATAGGTCAGTGGGTGCTGTGCGCAGATGGCTCCAAGCTCACCGTTGTACTATCTGGACTCTGCTGCTGTTCTGTGCAGGCTGTTCCTGCTGCATGATATTAGAGCCGTGCCCGAGGAGGACACAGTGCTTCATTTGTAATGAAAAAGGTGCTGTGACTCAAGCAATTTTTTTACATTCATAATTGATGTGGCAAGCCCAGAGATGCCAGGGCTATGAACTGCCAAGCCTAGAGGCTTGGCAAATTTAGCATTGTGAGGGCATCTCCAGTTTACACCAGCTGTACTTGTCAGAGGGCTGCCAGCTGTAATTGTGCCCTCCAACTCCCTGAATACTGTGTGGAGACCTTAAGTCCCTCTCTGTCCTCTCCCCACCTAAATATCCTGATGTGGAACAAAAACCCATTCCCACCTTCTTCTTTGTTACCTCCTGTCACCAGTGGGCTGGCTTCCCGTCTGTCACTTCTTCTCACCAGTGGGCTGGCTTCCTCTCTGTTACCATCTGTTGATAGTGTGGTAGTTTCCCCTCTGTTACCTCCCATCACCAGTGGGGTGCCTTCATCTCTGTTACCTTCTGTCACCAGTGGGGTGGCTTCCCCTATGTTACCTTCTGTCAACAGTGGGGTGGCTTCCCCTATGTTATCTCCTGTCACCGGTGAGTTGGCTCCCTCTCTGTCACCTTCTGTCACCAGTGGACTGGCTTCCCCTATGTTACCTTCTGTCACGGGTGGGCTCATTTCCCCTCTGTTACCTCCCGTCACCAGTGGGCTGGCTTCCCCTCTGATACCTTCCATCACCGTTGCGCTTGCTTCCCCTCTGTTACCTTCCACAATCAGGTTCACTAGTGCAGTGCCCGATACATCCAAGCTTCGTACCGTTATCCGGTACATCCCCGCATCCTCTGGCTGCACGGCCTTGAGCACTAGCGAAGCGCTGTCGAAGGAAACATTCGCCCGCTGCTGATAAAATCCCGCCTGCTCCAGGCTCTGCTGGCAGGTGCGCTCCCGTGACCCAGGGGCTCCAATACAGCTGTCCACCATGTAGACCAAGACGGGACGGTTCCCTGTGATGAAATCCCACTTGACATGGTAAAATTCCCATGCTGGGTTCTGGAACCGGAGGGAGATGGGCAGGACAGCCGTCTGACCAGAGAAGACCCGGACTGGGTTCTGCGATGAAATTATAGAGAGTGCAGCTGAGGCATCTGCATGGGAGAGAAAAGTGGAATCAGTTCAAACAAATACAGAGCCCTGCGAAGAAATGCCTCTGGGCACCAGGATGCAGCGCCTAAAATGTAGTGAGATCTTTTCCCAGCCAATTTACTTCAAACTGCGCTGCCATTCCAGATGGGAGAAGGTTTTAGATCCATATGCTGGGGGCTGGTAGGGAACGGGTCCTCAACTGGTGACTTAGTTTTCCCCTTGTGGGGTCTGTTTATCTCCCCAGAGCTCTCAGTCAGCTTGTATCCCACACTGGGAGGTAATCAAGAAGTAAAATCCGACTACCATTTCAACCCATCCCTGGTAGGGTGGAGTCCCCATGAATCAGGGATCATGCCATTGCCTGTTTGGCTGCACTGAGTGAACCAGCCCTGCTAGAGACTGCAGCCATCTACATTTAGGACTATGCCGTGGCTCTAAAGCCCTCGGGGGGAACTGCAGCTGGCTCCATCAGAATTCCTTTTGCCTCTCCCTGGGCTGATGGTGTAGGGGAGCCCTCCCGTGAAAGGAAAAAGGTGGCTACTCCATCAATGGGGAGTTTTAACACTGCAGAAGTATAGAACAAAGGGACAATGTGGAATTGGCCTCTGAGCAGCATGGATTAGAAGAGACCTGATGTGGTTTTCCCATGTCCTAGAAATATTCTGTTAGCTACCAAACACTCTCCTCCCTCTTTTCCTCCGCTCAGCCCTCTGAAGCAGCAGTTACTGAGATATAGCCTCCTAGATCCCTTACTCACCTGTGAAAGCCCAGAGAAGTAGCACGCCAATCATTGCAGTGGAGGGACACATAGCCAAGCACAATATAATCCTTGTTCAAACTATAGACTCAGCCTCTGACCTTCAGAGAGGCACAAGTCTTCCTCATTTTATTTCATATCTTCTTTATAAAGAAGCCATTTCTTTAAAGCAGTTTCATTATGAAAATGTCTCCAGTTTACATATTTAATTCAGATTCATATCAGATTTCCTCACTGAGAGAAACTGACAGTTTTGCAGTTCTAACATGATGGTCAGTTCAGGTCTCAGCAAGAAAGGATGTGGTCTCAGGGCCCAGTGACTTTTGCTGCATGGCAGGCTAACCTGAGTCCTAATTTGGCCAGGTAGGGGCGGGACAGAAATTACCACCAGCACTTTATCAAAGAATCGTGTGCTACAAACCGAAAATGTTGGAGAAACTGTCAAAGCCTCACTATTATGTGTAATGAACAGCAATTCCTAGAAGCAGGGAATTATGTTCTCTGTTGCTGCTCTCCTTGCAATTACAGCCTGGCAGGTGGGAGTAGATCTATTGAGGACCTGGGGAGGGCACCAACAGGTATGGAGGTTGTTGGATATATGGGGGTTTGAGGAAGGAATTAGGGGTGGGGGGTGGGTAAAGGGGAACAGAAGAAAGGTTCATTTTGACATTTCTCCCAAAAATTATTTTTGTTTGTTTGTTTGTTTCAATGTAAACACCTTGCCAAAGTTGACATGAATTTGTAAAATGTTTCTGTCAACCCGGATCTGCAATTTTCATCTTAAAAATGTTTGCCTGGCTATATTTGGAGGGGTGTGGAAGGAGTAAAAGTGCTAAGCATTCTGGGCATCTTGACACCGGAAAGATGCCAACCAATTGTGAGGGAGTGCAGAGCAGAGCAACAAAAAATGAGGAACGGCCTGGAGGGATCGACTTGTGGGGAAGAGACTAAAAGAGCTAAGCAGACCAGGACCTTGGATACAGCCAAACTGCAAAGAGCACAGGTCAGCGGGTGCTGAGCAAAGGTGTCTCCAAGCTCACATTTGAGCTATCTTGCTGCTGCCCTGTGCAGGCTGTTCCTACTGCATTATATTAGAGCCGTGCACAAGGGTTGCTCCAACTGATACCAGCTATATTGGCCCCAGGGCTGCCAGTGTAATAGAATCATAGAAATGTATGGCTGGAAGGGACCTCGAGAGTTCATCTAGTCCAGCACCTGAACTGAGGCAGGGCCATGTTCACCTAGGCCATGCCTGACAGGTGTTTGTCTAACTTGTTCATAGACAAACTCATTTTGAATTCTCATCCTATCCTCCAAAGTGCTTGCTCCTCCTAGCTTGGTGTTATCTGCATATTTTATAAGTATACTCTCCACTCCATTATCCAAGTCATTGATTAGTATAAGACCCAGGACACACCCATGTTAGACCCCACTAGATACATCCTCCCAGTTTGACAGTAAGCCACTGTTAAATACTCTTTGAATATGATTTTTGCACCCTCCTTATAGTAATTTTATCAAGACCATATTTCCTTAGTTTGCCTATGAGAATGTCACATGGAAATATATCATAAGCCTTACTAAAGTCAAGATATAGCACGCCTACAGCTTCCTCCCTATCCACTAGGCCTATAACTCCATCAAAGAAGGAAATTAGGTTGATTTGGCCTGATTTGTTCTTGATAAATCTGTGTTGGCTATTACCTATTAGCCTATTGCCCTCTAGGTGCTCAAAGATTGATTGTTTTAACCATTTGTTCCAGTATTTTTCCAGGTATAGAAGTTAGGTTGACTTGTCTATAGTTCCCTCGATCCTCTTTGTTTCCCTTTTTAAAGATAGCTGCTATGTTTGCCCATCTCCAGTGGTCTGGGACCTCACCCATCTTCCATGAGTTCTCAAGGATAATGGTTCTGAGATTGCTTCAGCTAGTTTCTTTGTACCCTAATAT